GCCCCCCCCCCCCCCCCCCCACCCAACTACATTTTCACCGTTTGTTCTGCAATGATGTTATCGCTCACTTTTCAAATATATTGTCGTATTCAACTCGAATCCGTATCCAATCCCACGATGATTCTCTTTTTGTTCGTGATCCTGATGGATACTCCGTCTTCGCAACCATAACGTCTTCCGGTTTTGGAGGCTTTATAGCTGGTCTTCGCCATTGAAGACAAAACACTATGTAGTTGAACATACCTTATGATCACACGCTATTATTAGCCTCGACAGAAGCAGCGCAGAAAGCATTTCAGTCAACATATTCGGAACGAAGAGAGCCTGTAGGATAGTTTTTAGAGCTGTGGAAGAATGAATCACACCTGCATCTCGGATTCAAAATTGTTGACTCGAATTGTTCCTTCATCATGCCAGTCCTACGATATAATTCCGTTGTATGCGTCTGTCAGAAGGTCGGTGTGTTTGTTTTGACGTAGGTATGTATGTTGGTGTGTGTGCAGGTAATACGGGAAATTCATGACTCCTGCTTCCCCGGACACAGAACGTTGATTTTTGGACTGGATAAGGCGGCAGGTGAAGCACAGATGGTTGATTACAGAAAGGGATAGCAACTGATATGGGATTGAAAGAGCCAGTGTCCGGTTGAGCTGTTTGTGCCAGCGGTGAGATCTTGATTTTATGACCGAGAACGTGATGCCTAGGGATGTTTGTGGTGAGAGCGACTGACAATAGTGGTAATGGCTGACAACAGACGTTGACATTCAGGCAATAGGACGTCTTCCCCTTTCGTTTTATCACTGAATACTCGCTACTGCAGTAAGTGACGTAGAATGTTAGTGAGTCGCAGATAGAAGAAGGATACAGATACAGGATACAGGATGAAACCATTCGTGTAGCTTCCTTATTTTTCCAGTTTAGGTTTATCGAATTTTCATGAGCTTTTCAGCCCTCTCATATGCATCAGGGAGGAAGGAAACGACATTAACGCCCATTTTCGGTATATTCATTACTCATTTGACCTTCGGATATTCTATGGAGAAGATCAATCCAATGAAGAAATTGAAAAGGGCAACAATCGTCGGCCAGGATAGCAAGCAAAGTTTAGTGGAAATGGTCATAAACAATGCAAAATGATCAAGGTTAAAGTCCTTCAGCATCTATCAACCCAATTTGAGGTGAACTGGCGCATTTGCCTTCCACTCAGGATCGTAGTAGCGCTTGAGGTGTGTACGTGGTTCATATAACGATTTGCGATGGCTAACCGATGTAAGTGTCAACTTCTACCCTCTCGCGAGATTTTAATATCTATTAAACAACCTCGGAGGGAGTGAGGGTTCAGGTGGCCTGAGCGGGCTTATTAGGGGATTTGGTCCCCACTTCATATCACATATGGTGCATACACCAAGTAAATCCTTACCGGTTGAATGAGGAAGAATGCTTTACTCAAAAAACAAAGAAAGGAAGAAATAAGCAAAAGGACGGACCACTAATTCAAGCAGAGTGGACCTGAGCTACCCTGACTGAGTCTCAAATATTCAAAACGCTGACACTACTTTCGGTGTATCTTGTGGCGAGCCAGCGCCCTCTCGAATATCAGTGGCTTCGAAGTCGATGGCTCGTTGAGTTTCGGAGCGATAAGGGATGGCAATAGAAGAGACTGTTTCAGAAATTGGATCTGGACCTTGATCGAAAGTTGTTTTTGACAAGTGTATTGACTGCCAATCTTCTTCTTAATAGAAATGGGCATGATCCGCCGAAATGACTACAGGGATTTGAAAAGTTCAAGCAATCGCTCGGCAAATTAATTAAAATTTATTTTCCCAACCAATTTTTCTCGTTCACTACTCATGTTTTCGCCACTAGCGGGACAGTTATAGTGTGTGGATTGACTTTGTCCTTGTTCGCGTAAGCTTTCTGGGCATTGTCTCCTTCGAACTGCAAACGAAATTGACAGATAATTAGAAACTGAGAAATGTTACTATTTCAAGATATCATGCCTACCGGTGTGGTGAGAACAAGTATCTTCTCGGGCTTGACTGGGCCATCGCTTCGGCTCAAAACAAGGTCGATAGTCTTGCCCACATCGATCATGGCGAACACTGGATTTACTCTGAAAAGGAGAATCGTTACAAAAATCTGAAGTTTCATTTCAATAGGATATTTTTTGCCGCGTCCACGCACAATACGTTCCGCTACTATGCTCCACTCCTAAATTTATAAGAAGGGGCAACTTGATGTGCCGATCTAATTACGCAGCTTATTGAAGAAAATAATGAAACACACAAACAAACAAACAAATAGTGAAAATAATGAATAATGGAACAGAAAATAATGTTTTCAATAAAGTTAGCGCTCGAGGTTTCCCCTCACTCTTCAGATTCAAGATTTCACTGTATGTTGTATGTCTACCCCGAATAAAATCTTTTTTATAAAGTCAATAGGATATTACAAGGGAACTTATCAGTAGGAAACTACTCCACACACTCATGACCACCGTTTTTAAGCATCAGGTTGAGGAGACCTGTCTGCAGCTATTCCTAAGTCTTCGAGAGACTTTGCTCAATTTGTATTCAGCAGGAATGAGATCAGAGCTACAGGCAGGCCACATCCTTTTCGGACCAGAAAGCAGGCCTAATCTCCAACAGCATCTGTTTTGAATCCGTTTTTGTGTATAGCTCTTCAGTGGCTCCATTCTATCTTTGGATCCATGATTTTTTCAGTAACAGCAACTAACACTAGGGTTCCTTCTGGTTTGAGTAGCCAATTGTCTGGTGTTGGTTCCGAAATTGACCATAAGCAGGATTCAAAAAGGATTTTTTATTGAAGCATACGTGTATTGTCGTGAATCGCAGTGTATAAGCGGTGACCACTTTGGCTTGCGACCCACAAACTCTCTTTTGTCTTCCCTTTTGGGTGGACAGTCTTCAGTGATATTGTTAATTTTGCTTCTACCTCGAGATTGGTAGGTGGAAATTTTTATTCTAGTCCACGTTTCGACGGCCTCGTCGCTTTCAGGGTCAGAAAATGATTCAAAGCTTGTTGGTTGCACACTACCCCACCAAGAGCCTCTTGCACTCTAGCGTTTCTGGCATTCTATCGGGAATGCACGAAAAATGCCTAAAATTCAAAAGATAAGCTCACTTCACTTCCACCGCGAAGTGTAGCGCTACGCTACGCGGTTAGTACATTAGTAGCGAATAAACTTACTTCGCTGTCCTCGAGCAATATTATTATTAGATCAGCACCTTCGCGGATTATGGAACTAACGCGCAGTATTGCATAGGTAGTAAGAGATCATTTGTGATAGTCACACACTCATTTTGATTGTTCATAGCTGCTGTTCCACTCCATGCTTCCCTAACGGAGTTAACACATTACCGCGCCGTTTACCAGCGAGATGCTCTTTGATTCTTACTGAAACTACAAAAAGGGGAAGAAACTACAGAGGGGAAACTCTTCCAGTTTTCACTGTGTAGTTTAAATTACATGCCTCACATTGAATCTGGTAAATTACGCCTACAGAAGCGCAATCTCCATTTTTCCCGTTTGGACGTGTAACGCAACCCTCTTTCAAGCACTGCGTGCAATAGAGTCTGTTCCTCACAAGTTGGCATTTGATGTTTAGGCAGAATGCTAACTAGAATAACATCATCGCTCAATTGTGCCCGAACAATACACCGTTGAACTGCAGCAGATACCTTGGCCGAGATAAACGGTCAACATAGAGGAAGTTTAATCTGGTACGAAGTGTCTCTCCTGTCAACGCGGAATCTTCAAGTGTTACCATGCGGTACGGTATAGCCAATTGGTCAAGCTATAACTGAAGCTAATCGTCTTGATTCTTCGCGTTCGGTCATACCACTGCACATGCGCGTAGCTGTCGTATACATTTTCCTGATAAGAGCGCGTTTAACATTCGGTACCACTTAAAGTGTACGATCCCGCGGGACACTTTGATTTGAATGTTGAGATAGGGGTGCCAACCATCTTGTGGTATCTCTCGTGTGAGCCTGACGATCGATGACCGCTCACTCATTGCGGAAACCCTCATCCATTTCGAACTGTGTTGAAGCCATAATGCAGCAGTCATCTAGTGTATACCTACAGTACATCAACAGTAAGCGTGCCTATACTGGTTCTTCGATTCTGCTAATGAAGCAGATCGTCAGTACGGTAGCTGTCCGTTGACATGGCCAAACCTCAAAGTTGAGAATAGTAAGAACCCGACCGTTCGAAGATGTTACAACCAAAACATTCCTTGATGGCAGTTATAACACGCTCAATATAGGATAATCTAATAATATAATATAGGGCGGAAGAGGCGCTTGGTGGGGTAGTGTGCACTCAACAAGCTTTGAACCATTTTCAGGCTTGAAAACGACTAGTCTGTCGAAACGTTGGCCAGAATAAAGGTTTTCACCTACCAACCTCGAAGCAGAAGCAAAATTAACAATTTCAAGAACAACTGAAATGCCAAGGTTTCAAGATGAGAACGTGGAAGTCCTCTCATCTTTGAGTCCTTCAGTGAAGTTGTCGTGCCATTACCCTTCACCCAGAGCTGTTCCTTCAGGTGAAGCAAAACAAAGTAAAGTCGTACTTGAACATAGCATTGTTGGAGCACTTTATTTTCATCGCCTGCTTCTTGTCCGTTTCATTTGTGACTTTGAGCACCTACAATATTTAGATTTACTGTTTCGCTAATGAACATATGCATAGCTTCTGACAGGTTAAACTCGAGAGAAGTTACGGCAATGATTAAAGGAATTCATGCCGGCATGGCCTGGGTTAAACTCCGCTCAGACCCAGGCCATGCCGGAATGTTTTCGCCACCACAGGGAAGCAATACAGGAAATATCTGTCAACTTCTCAACACGGGAATTTCAAAGGAAATTAGTCAGTCTCTTTGTCAGAGGAGGATCAGTCATACCATCACCGTAAGGGTTAGCAGGCCTAGCTAGCCACGTGGTGAGTTGAAGGCACAGTTCACGATAATTTTGAGGTACCTCTTTTTATTCGAAAAGTGGAAGTAAAGATTGGGAATAGTTCATCGGTAGTGAAGAAAGCGAGAGAATTTGCCGATTTCGAGGAAAATATGGCTCCTCAAAAGTAGAGAAAACAGAGGTTGGACGAGATTGCTATGACGGAAATAACATGAAAGGTGAATCCCTAGCTGGGCCGCTTTCCGACCTATTAGTGCCAGATATGGTATACGCGGAGGCCTCAATTTCATCCTGTGGGGTAATCTCAGAAACCATTTTTATCGGGAACTGTGCCTTTAATGTGCATGGCCAACAGGAGTTGATGAAATGCACTCTCACTGCTTTGGTAGCTATGCTGGTTCCATTTGATGAGGTACTGCCATTGCTGATATGCTGCTCCGGCAGCGCCTACATGATCTTCTTCCCATGAGATATAACGGATTTCATAAACAGAATCGTTGACTGTCACCTACAGTATCATCTAACGGGGAGAGGAGGTACTTTGAATCCTATATGAATCAACATAATGGAAGGGTACGGTTCGATTTCGACTCGATGATGTTGTTAACGGTATTCGTCGCAGTGGTGATGCGAATGATTCTGCGATTCTCACATGTGTGGCGAATTGTGTGAGACACTTCGACTTCGGATTGGACTTGAACCGGTACTTGTGCTTTGTTAGCACCGTGCCCTTCAACCCTCAAAATACCTAGACCATCTTGTCTTCGCCTTCATAATGGCTCATAAGACATAGCTTATCAGCCCCTCGTGTGCAATGAGATGAGCTGGTCATTTGTCTGGAGCTTCAAGCCTTCCTTTTCGTTACTGTACTGGAGAGTTAGAGGTGCTGCCCACATTCCAAGCGTCATTTTAGTGTTTGCGTAAGTTTAGATTACAAGTTTGAACGCCTTAATACTCCTTCAAAGGTTCTGCGATCAATGGTTGAGTCGTGATAACATTTGCTTGCTTTTGCTGTCCTGTATGTAGTTGTAAGAAATATTTTGTTTTTATTGTTTACAGTTTTAATGAAAGGGAGTTATCAAGTGTACCTGCTGCGACGCCTTTGGCTCCCATGCTAGGCTGCTAGAACTCAGCTTTATTCCCCCTGAAATTGAATGTTATCCACAGAACCATCCGGATTTGATCTAGAACCTGATCCGAGAAACATTGAATTTAGAATAAATTGCGTCGCCATTTCAAAACTTTGCTTTTTCAGAGAATTCCGAAAAATTCGTGAGCTGTGCCCGTGGTCCCGATTTTATAACCATTTCCTAGCTCTGCTCAATTTCTTAAAAGGTCAAGGAAGATAGGGGAAAGGAATGAGTATATCACCAATGTAGGGGAACAACAACTTGTTGAAAAGCTCTGGTAGAGGGTCATTTGGAAAAAGTAAAGTGGAGAAGAGGTAAGAACTACAAAGCTATATGGTGTTGCGGTCGAATGGGCCTAACTGCCTCTTCAGTCAAAGGCGTTTCATATCGAAGCCGATCTTACCTCCTGTTCGTCTATGGCTTAGTAATCTTGCTATATGAGGCTGTTTCAAAGTATTGAGAGAATTCTCCTGGTACCGTTCGAAATTTATTTTCTATCCTTTCGTCAACATTCACGACCACGTATTATTCCACGTCATCTAGCACTAATCACGGCCCTATTTTTTTTTGATGTGCTCCTACAACGGATTTCGCGTGGCAAAAAATGTCCCGCGCCCGCTCGCTCAATTAAAACGAATTACGACATGTTGCTTGACTAAGAGTGCATTTATAATTTTTAGCGCCTTTTCTTACCGCCCGGCTTTTTTGTGCCACCTGCTGGCTCTTCCTGAAACGAGGTTATTCAGTAGGTAAGCCTGGATTTCACATCAGACACTCTTACGAATAAACATCAAGTCACCTTTGGTGGGGATGGCATAGTGACATCTAGTGGAAGCTAAAATTGAATCGCTAACAAAGCGACTTGAGATAAAATCCAGACAGTGCACATACCTCTTCCACCTTTTGCTTTTCCTCTTCCTTCTCTTTTTCCTTCTCTTTTTCCTTGTCCTTCTCGTCCCCTTTCTTCTCTCCCTCTTTCTCTCCTTCTTCATTTTTTTCCTCGTCCTTCTTCTCCCCTTCTTTACTCTCTTTCTTTTCGTCCTCTTTCTCTCCTTCTTCTTTTTTTGGCTCATCCTTCTTCTCCACTTCTTTGCTCCCCTTCTTCTCGTCCTCTTTCTTTTCGTCTTTCTTCTCCTCTTTTTCATCTTTCTTCTCTTCTTTCTTGTCTTCTTTCTTCTCTTCCTTCTCCTTCTTCTCTTCAACATTCTCCTCATTGGGCTTTTTTACAATTTTCTTCTCTTCTACCCTGATCTCATCTTTCTGATCCACAGCCGATCTAGATCCCCCCTCTCTCTTCTCCTCGATGGCTGTTGGGTCTGGCTTCTGCTGCGAGTCCGTACTCTTTTTTTGTTGTGGCTGAGGTTCTGCAGATCGAGGCTGCTCCTTTTTCTTTTCGACCTTCTTGGTTGAGTGTTTCTAAAAGAAATCTTGATAACGCCATGCTTTGCCTAGTCTCCTCCAAAATGGTTAAGCGAGGTATCAGGGGTAATGGGTCGAATCATGTAATTCCCTGTTCCCTACTGTATGTATTTCAGACTAATGCTCCCTTTAAACATGGTGATTCTTACCTTTTTGCTTCTTTTCGGGGTATCCACCTTTTTCTTTTTGCCACCACACTGGACAATGAAATAGATGGAGGTTAAGAATTGCAGGATCAAATAGACAGAAAGGCAAATCATCCTATTTATGGCTATGAGTATTTCCTCTATGCGAAACCTGTAACACGGTATCATTTAAAAGGAGAACCGTTGAAAACCATTGTTGCTTAAAATCTTTATGTGGTTGTTGGAAACCGCCCGTCACTAATCCCAGATGAAAATGCCGTTTGCCACGTACCGATACTTCAGGCTGTCAGAGAACGGCCTTGTGCGACAGCTTCAGTCGTTGACTCTTAACAAGGGTTTTTTAGCATTCATTTCTGCACTCATGTATTTTCCTAAGGTGCTGCGGACCACGATGGTGTTTAACTTTGCTCCCATTTGTTGTGAACTTCATTCGGTTAGAATTTAAACGTTTGTTTAGTTCGGCTGTATTCTGATGATTTCCCAGTGACACTTTTTCATCTGGGCATTCATCAAATGCCCTCCGCCAAAACTCATGAGGAGTTGGAAAGTTGGGCTCACCGTTGGAACAGTACCTTGTTTCGCGTAGGTATTCGTAAAAATGAAAGTATACCGCCTGATAAGACTGATACTTTCTGAAAGTACGACATAATACCGTCATGATAGTACTCGCTAGTCAACAATGAATAACTCAGTATTTTTACTGAAGGATCTACATTGGTCCATGGTTACTTTGGTAGTATTGTGACAAGGCCGGCTGCATGCAAAAGAAGTCTTAGCGTATTGAACGTATAAGTATTCACCATAGCAGTGTCGCAGCAGAAGGATTATTAACAGTTATAACTAATTACAATTTTCAGGAGAATGCTGTGTAGGAGGTATCTGAGCTAGACCAACTTGAGCAATATGCCTACGAGCAGAACTGAACCGTAATTACGTCCGTCTTGTTGTCCATGATTGATGGTCGATATCCTGAACTTTTGCAGAACCCTACCAAATTATAGCACTTAACCTCTACCTAATCCAGCCCTAAACCTAAATGAATTGGTAAAGATTGAAAGGTTTCTCAGCATCGATTAATTACTTCGATGGATACGCCACGCATTCAACCTTAGTTCACCCAATAGTGGAACTTTAATAAACGACCATTTTATGTGGCGGCATGCGTAAGTCGGTTCCAAATAAAGCAATCCCCCTTCCATGGGGATAGCCAGCTCAGAAGAGACTCGGGCGACTTACACTTGCATTAAATGAGTGCGGGAATTTAAGTGTGGGGCGATATATGCAGTAGCAATCGCACCTACCATCCCACCGCGCCACCGCACCCATCACTTTGTTTACACCTAGTCTGAAATAAGCACCATCCTATCACTAAAAACCTGCTGGTTGTAATTATCGCGAACTGCGCCCCTAAAGTTCTGGGGACCACAAGAGTGTTCAGTTTTGTGGTTGCTACACGAATTCGTCGATCTTAATAAGTATGGGAGACTGGTTGGCTTAGAAAATCCTATCCTCTGTACCATGGAAATCCAATCTGCACCCCCAAGCAATGCCTACCCAACGCAGTGATTTTACTTTGGTATTAAATTCATGAACAAATAATGCGTGTGACTTCATTGTTGACGCATTAAACCTACAGTACCCCCAAAATATTGCTTTTAAATTATTCACGATTATAAATATTATGATCCACTCATATTTTCCTAAGAATATTTTATTCATCTGATTACTTATCGGCTCCTGTGTAAATACCAGGACTGGCTAGGTAAACTCAACAATACTAAACACGGCCAGAGGACAAATAAACAAAAATCCCTACATCACGCTCTTGAAAATCATGAATTTATAATAAGCTTTTTTGTGGAAGCATCTGGATTTTTACTGACTGTGGTGCAGAAGCGATGACTACGCAGGGCAGCCATTGTTCCCAGAATCGTTTAGCTGATTTGGGACACAGATTTGAGATCAGCGTTTGGAACCACCAACGGCGGTATACATCTCATAGTGTATGACCACTGCGAACAAGTATCCTTCCCTTATAAGAATCGGCAGAACTAACTAGTCCGATATATCATTTTAACCGGAGTGCTTGGTGTAATAAGCGGACGACTCCATAACCAATGTGAGGAACTCTACTCGAGATACTTCATATTCATTGGGTCATTGGGTTCGTTCTTTCGTATTTATAACACAGAGTCGTAGTGTAGGACCCCCTACCCTTCCCCTTCCTTTGCCGTCCGTCATCTGGATTCCGTCAGTGTTAGATTCCCTTGAGCATCTCCTTCACAGGCGTTCCTGAAAGTCCAATCCGCTTTTCATTCTTCAGTGATAGCAGTGTGATCACAGTCTGTTCCCTATAACCCTTGAGATCGCCCATTTACGAACGAGTGAACAAAAGAGGTACGGAATGATTTGTGCAATAATTTGCGAAACCGGTTTCTGGTCAGGTTTACCTCACCAGAAACTGTGTTTAACGGCTCGATCCCAATTTGCCAATTAGAACTGTACGTGCCATTTCCTTTATTGTTAGGGGCACTATTGGGATACATACAAAGAGATAGGAAGTTGAATAGACTATCATTTCCTGATTTTCCAGCCGAACTCTTATCCTTGAGCTAAGCTTACCTTTCTTCTTATTAGCTCCGAATGTTCGCCATTTCTCTGGTAGTTTTAAACTGTTTAGCTACTTAGGATAGGCCATACACTCCACTCAAACATGGAAGCAGAGGAATGTGTAATGATTTACTTGTTGCCCTGTCCGAACCTCTCCAGGGAGCTAGATTTGCAGCGAATCTTAACTGGGTGCCCCTATGGATTGTTTTTTAACGAGTGTGCGTCAGCTCGGATTCGCGGTTTTGCAGGCAGCCCTTGGTGAACATTCTAGTGGTGATGAACTGGGTGGTCCTTGTGGATCCTAGAGGTGGGGTAAAGGTGGAGCCACTGGTTCAAATACTTCATAGAATTTTCAATGGGATTTCGCGTGGACCTGCACCAGATACGTACTTCGAAGCTGTACAGTCTTCAACGAAGCCAAGTTCGTGGCGCACTCTAAGGAAAAATGATCGCAGCTCGGATAAGGTGCAACAGTAACACCCCCGAACGTTGAATCCTGCAAATGAAAGCGGTGGTGTGTACTTTTGGAGCGGCCGATTTATGAATGGGATAATTGGAGTGGGCTGTGTGTGGAAGGCTGTGGTCATATGAACCGTCGTAAACAGCTTTGTCATCACATGGTTCTTATGACTCACGGGATATGTCAGTCAGACAGAATCACGTGAGAACATCGTAAACACCTCAATGACCTTACGGAGTATGGTATTGTAAACAGGCTTTCCCGCCAGAATAGCTATTACCATAATGTGGAAATTCAGTATGTCTGGTGAATTGTTGATGAGGTGTCCATTGTGTTCCATCCTAACCGAAAGCAACCGAAACGCGGCAAAATGCTCTTTCGCATGGGTCGTGTGTTTTGGCGGGGTGCCAAGTAATCTTACCTTCAGGAGGCATCAATTTACCAGACAGTGATGCCCTAAGAATACAAACTCATCTGGTCGGACTCATAGGATGCGCCATGCATCCAACCTAAACCTATAATTGGGTATCACCTCAATAACAAGAACAACAGGTTGAACGCGGATTGGAATTCCTACTGTAGTGCCGGAACTACGCAACTAATATTTGTTATTTGACGACAGCTTAAGTATTATACCAGGCGATGTATGAGTACTGTAGGATTCAAAGTCCGTGCAGAATTTATTGTCGCAACGTTAAGCTATGCTCCTGTGCCTGATGGTGATTTCTCTGTTTGGGATGCTGTCCTTTGAGAACTATCAGTGATGTACTATTGCGTAAGCTATTCCTTTCCAAGTAGTGCATAATCGACCAGTGCAATTTCGATCAAAATGTAAATTTTCCGATGCCGAAGCCTAATTTTAGAAGCTGTCACCACCTGAAGCACTTCCAAAATGGTGAGCAAATCTAATGATAGCTGATCGCCATAACTGGATTGGTTTTGTCAATGGAAGTACCGGATCAAGGGTACTAGAAGGAATCTGTAATATGGTAAGTGCAGTAATGTGTGCAGTGGGTAATTGTGGAAAAATAAATGTGGACCTTCAGAAAAGGCAGCAGGCAAATCACTGCATAGAACAATTCCTTTCTACGCCATGTACTTGCGTTTCGTATAAGATGGTTTGAGCACTGTCCAGTGGAACTCCCACGTGATTTAATCCTTGGTGTGTATGGGCCAGGGTTTGTTCAAAACGGTCTCTTCTATCGGCGGTTCTTTGGTGAACAGGACATAAGGAGTATGGAAGGGTCTGAGTAAGGTCCCATCGGAGCGTTGCTTCAAGGTCTTGCATTGGCAACGGCACCACTGCCATTAACATCTTCCATCATAGAATAGAGCTTAACTGAACTTTTTTGTAGGGCCTTTACTAAAGAAATACTGGAGGATCTACTTTCTCTGTTTTTCTTGTATTTTCATAGCAATAGAACCCCCTTTCCAAATTTCTTGCATTTCCATAGCACTAAAACCCTCTTTCCAACTGTTTTTGAGAATGTTTCCCCTCGAAACTTTCCCCTTCAGTGCTTTTCCTTGCCATTAGTGAAAGTGAAATCTTGGCGGGAAATCAACACAATAGTTGTCCTTGATCGCTGGCGTCTCCTCCTCGAAAATACTGGTTTTCAAGAGACAGCAGTAATCGAGGCCTGGCAAACTGCCGAGAAAAGACGTGACCTTTTGCGGTATCGCATGACTATCTAAAGTAACTCGATTGACGGGACAGACAACCAGACTATTTTCGTCTAGCTCGAGGTTTGGCGAGCTGCCAACCAAACTGGTCTTTCTGAGGTATGCACAGAAAAATTCACAGTAAGCACACAGTTCGCCATATCTCGATTAAAATCAAATTTTGCAGATTCTGTGGGGATTAATAAAGGGAATAATAAATAAACAACAACGAGTTGCGGTACTTGAATCCTGAAGCCAGATACTAAAAAACTGGAGATAGGTCAGGGAAATATAAATATTTAAGAAGTGAATTAGAGCTATACAAAGGCAAACAGGCAGAAAATAAAGTTGCTTTTTCAACGTACGCAACCAAACCAGTCCACTTTCTTGAACCCGATTGGGTGAAGCCAGGAACGTCAGAGTGGGTCGCTGGAGCAGCCGATCACATTGAAAAAGCTCGGATCTTGCAGAAAATAATGAACGTGCTAGTCTTCCATGTGCAATAGATTTTCGTGTGAATGAATGAGTCAATAAATAAATAAATATTTATTTAGGTGTGTCCCTAAGCAAACAAATAAACAACAAATGAGCAAACAGATCCCGCTACCTCATTGAGAAATGAAATGAGCAAAATGAAGGGAATGAAAATCGGAATGGGGGAAAACAAAGGAAACTTTTTTTCATACATATAGGACAGAAACTTCCCAAACATTTCCTACGAATCGAGTTTCTCATTATTTGGTGGTACGAGCTCATACCTCAATCCTTGTTTTGTTAGGAATCGTACAAGCTAGTAGTTTCCCACGGTTAGAATAACATCCAGTGAAACAGGAAGTATTTGATGATACAAATCGACACTTTCTTTACATTTGCAAACGTAAGAAGCTCAAAAAGTAAGTAAACATAAACAGAATAAGC